GTGACGTCCTGCAGCAGATCATGGCCATCACGGACCAGAGCCTGGACGAGGCTCAGGCCAGGTGCGGCGCCCAGGCAGGGAGGGGACAGGTGCGGCCGAGCTTGGAGTGATGGCCAGAGGGAGGGAAGGGCGGCTCCGTGAGGAAAGGGGACGAGGGACCAGCCCTGGGGACAGGAGACGTCGGAAGAATAGTGATGTAGTCATCTGTTATTGGCCGGGCGAGGACCCCAAGTTTACAAGGCACACACAGTCGAAGGGAAGCGACTGAGGAGCTGAACTAGGGTGATTTGACGAAGGATCCGTTGAGAACTTTGAGAAATGGATACAGAGAGCTGGGTGAACCTTAGAGAGCACTCCTCTTCCTCCTCCTCCTCCTCCTTATCATCATCATCATCATCATCATCATCCTTCCCCTCCCTCGTCCCCTCCTCCTTTTTTTCAGGACAGGATCTCTCTGTATCCTTGGCTGCCCTGGAACTAGCTCTTGTAGACCAGGCTGGCCTCGAACTCTGCCCCCGAGTGCTGGATTAAAGGCGTGCACCACCACACTTGCTGGCACCCTTCTTTTTTTTTAACGTTTTGTTTTTTTGGTTTGGTTTTTAAATATGTGAATATGTTTGTTCACCCGACATGTGTGTAGGGACTTAAGTTCACTGGAAGAGTAACAAGTGTACTTAACCCCTAAGCCATGTCCCCAACACCTCCCCTCCCCACGCCCCCACTTTTATTATCAGGCTGGCCTCAAACTCGATGTATTGTAAAAAGATAACCTTGAACTCCTGATCACCTGCCTTCACCTCCATAGTGCTGGGATGAGAACTATGTGCCACCCATTGACCATACCCCAAAGATTCTTTTCCTTTTTGTTTGTTTGGTCAGCCTGAAACTCAACATGTAGCTCAGTATGTAGCCCAGGATGACAGTGAGCTTCTGACCTTCCTACTTCAGCTTCCCTGAGTACTAGGATGACATGCACGAACCACCAAACCCAGCTTATGTGATGCTCGGAGTTGAACACAGGGTTTTGTGCACGCTAGGCACAAGTGAGCCACAACCAGCAAGGAGCCTTTTAAAAATGTTTCTTTCATGTATGTGTGTGTTGTGTAGGTGTGATTTTGTGTGGATTGTACAGGTGCACAGTCACGGTGCATGTGTGGTTTGAGGCTCCTCTGTCATGCTCTGTTCTGTTTGTTCTTTATCTGTTTGTGGAATACAGGCATGTGTCTGAGAAGACTTAGGAAAGTTGGTTCTTTCCTTCCACTATGTGGTTCATGAGATCAAATTTGTGTTACGGATCTTGGCAACAACTACTTTTACCCATGGAGCCTTCTTCCAGGCTCAGGTTCGATATACTTGGAGTGACTGCAAAATTGCTGCTTCAGAAAGATAAACAGAAAAGTTTTGGCAGAAGCCCAGAATGGATTCAGTTCTTGGATAGGTCCCCAAAGGATACCTCAGGAGTCATTATTTGATTACCTTTCTTGTTTGTTTTTTGTTTTCCAAGAAAGGTTTCTCTTTGTAGCCTTGGCTGTTTTGGAACTCACTATGTAGTAGATTAGGCTGGCCTTGAATTCACAGAGCCTCCTGCTTCTGCCTCCCAAGTGCTGGGACTAAAGGAGTGTGCCACCACTGCCCAGCAGGCCATTACTGTGTTTTTAAGACAGGGTTTCATCCAGCCCAGACAGGACAGATGAGCTGAGGTCCTGGCATCCTCTTTGTGTGTGACGTCCCTACATCACAGCACCAGGGTTGAAGATGCCATCATGCCAAGCTTTTTTATATGGTGCTAACGAATCTGAACACAAGTTCTTCTGCTTGCAAGACAGGCACCTTACTGACTGAGCCATCCCTCCAGTCTCTGAAGAAGCCCCTCCTTTGGGGGGGCGGTGCAGGGTCTCTCTCTGTAGACTAGGCTATCCTCAAACTCAGAGATCCACCTGTCTGCCTATGAGTGCTGACATTAAAGGCGTGCATCTGACTTCAGAATCCATTTTTACATGTAAAAATTTAAGGATTGTTTTGTTTCATTTAATTTTAAAGATTTGTTTATTTAGTATACAGTGTTCTGTCTGCATGTATGCCTGCATGCCAGAAGAGGACACCAGATCTCATTACAGATGGTTGTGAGCCACCATGTGGTTGCTGGGAATTGAACTCAGAACCTCTGGAAGAGCAGTCAGTGCTCTTCACCTCTTAGCCACCTCTCCAGCCTGGATTGTTTTGTTTTAAATGTATGAGTATCTTACCTACATGTCTTTATGTGTACCATGTACATGCCTGGTCCTCTAGGAGGTCAGAGTCCTTGGAACTGGAGTTACAAATGGTTATGAATCACCATGTGGATGCTGGGAACCAAACCCAGGTCTTCGGCAAGAATAACCAATGCTCTTAACCACTGACCATTTTGCCAGCCCCAAGACCCATCTTTAAAAGGAACTTGATACATACTTATCGGATACTTACTATGTCAGGGCACTGGTCTAGGGCTGAAGTAGTCCTTGCTTTCACCTTCACGGGCTTGGGGGGTTTGGGACAGAGAAAGGAAGTGGAAAAATACACACATAGATAAATTGTGACTAAGCGATAAGGAAAGGACTGGCATGCTGTGGGAAGCTATCTGGAGAAGGGACAGAACCTCCAGAAGATCCCAGAAGCCAGGGAAAAGATGTTCCCAGCCCAAAAGGGAGAAGCCTCAGAGGGTCAAATTTGGAGAAACCTTGAAGCCTGCTTATACAGTTACACAAAGTTTGCAACTCTCAGTAAGGGTTAGGATTCTATTCCAGTTTCCTTTTCCTCTTATATGAAGTTTTTGTTTGTCTTTCGACACAGGGTTTCTCTGTGTAGCCCTGACTGTCCTGGAATTCGCTCTATAGACCAGGCTGGCCCTGAACGCACAGATTCACCTGCCTCTGTTCCGAGTGCTGAGATTAAAGGCGTGTACTACCACTGCCCAGCTAAAGATTTATTTTTTTAAATTTGTGTGTGGTAGTGTTTTGTCTGCACAAATGTATGTGTACCAAACACATGCCTGGTGCCCACAGAAGTCAAAAGAGGGCATTGGGTCCCCTGGAACTGCCGTTACAGACAGCTGTGAGGTGCCATGTGGGTGTTGAGAATGGAACCCAGATGCTCTGCAAGAGCAGTGTCCTTCACTGCAGTCGTCTCTCCAGCCACCATTCCAGTTTCAATAGCAGAGAAAAAAAAAAATCAAAGCAGGGTTGTTTGTTTGTTTGGTTTTGGTTTTTGAGACAGGGTTTTTCTGTTTACCAGCTCCGGCTGTCCCAGAAATAACTTTGTAGATCAGGTTGGCCTCAAACTCACAAGATCTGCCTGCCTCTGCCTCCAGAGTTCTGGGATTAAAGGTGTGTAGTCAAAACATTTTTAACTGTCCCATGTCCACACACCAGTGTCAGCCAGCCAGGGCTATGGAGATCTGCTTTACAAGGTAGTTTACTGTGCTTACACCTGCTGGGATGGCAGGGGATAGCAAATAGGAAGGGGTTGGATTCCTTTTGGAGCATGGGTGTTTATTGAAAGAGTCTGTTTTGAGGTGATGGTGGTTCCTTGGGGTCTGACAGTATGTATTCTAGCCCTGCAGTGAGATCAGTTTACTAAGCAGAAAAACAAAAACTACTTAGTACTTAGGGCAGGGAGTTCGGCTCAGGTGATGGAGCACTTAGAGCACTCACCTCCAATACACATACATTCAGGAGCCCTGGCTTTTCTCTTCAGAAGTGCATAAAGCTCGCCTCACTTCCGTAGTGAGGCCAGCCTGAAATGCCTGAGACCCTGCCTACAGATACCCCCACTCCTACTGAGCTCAGAACTTTTGCTCTTGCTAGGCAAACAAACAGTTTCCTAGCTGTGTGGAATGCTGACTCTTTGGTTTTACATCCTCTCTGGGAAGTCAGGAATGCTGCCCTGCCTCCAGCTCTTTGCATTCCACTTTTAAAATGTATCTTTTATTAGGGTGTGTGTGGTACGTATGTATACACATGTGCTGTGGTGTGCAAGGGATGGTCTGAGGACAGCACTGAAAAGCCTGCTCTCACCCTCTGTCATGGGTTCTGAATGAACTCAGGTCATCATGCTTGCAGGGGCCAGTGCTTTTACCGCACCCTAGCCATCTCACCGGGACTGGGTTTTCCTGCATGTCTGTAGTCTGTCCAGCATCTATCCGCTCATAGCATCCACCCTTCCAACATCCTGCTCTCTGGGTGGTTCAGGTACTGGGGGATCGGGGATCCCCAGTGCTCACCTGAGCTATGAGATTGTCTGTCTAGTGTATATGAAATAGAAGCTGCTCCACAGAGGACCAGGAGAGGTTTTCCTGTGAGCTCCTTGGTTAGTCCCCAAGAGAGGGAGGGCTTTGCTGTACTTTGAATTATCAAAGCTCTTGGTACCCAGCACTCAGTAAACTGTCATGGCACTGAAGTCAGTGCCTTTTACAAGGGTCAAATATTAGATATCATACAAACAGATATTTATATTACAACTCACAACAGTAGCGAAATTACAGTTATGAAGTAGCATTAAAAATAATTTTATGAGAGCCAGGCGTTGGTGGCGCACGCCTTTAATCCCAGCACTCGGGAGGCAGAGGCAGGCAGATCTCTGTGAGTTCGAGGCCAGCCTGGTCTCCAGAGCCAGTGCCAGGATAGGCTCCAAAGCTACACAGAGAAACCCTGTCTCGAAAAACCAATAATAATAATAATAATAATAATAATAATAATAATAATAATAATAATTTTATGGTTGGGGTTACCACAACATGAGGAACTGTGTGTGTGAAAAGGTTGAAGCACCAGGAAGGTTAAGAACCACAGTCTTGAAGGGTTAAGCTCTGGGGAGAGAAGAGATGAAACACAAGAAGTATCACCACTAAAGGAACATTTTGATGTGTCCTGGGGAACTGCCTGTGTCCCATTCTGGAAAGGGAGCTGCTGAAGAGCTGAGCCCTGCTCAGGTATGGCCTTCAGGCATCTTAGGCTCAGTGTAGCTCCAAGACTGAACCCTTGTGAGCTTCTGGTCTGTCTGTCCCAATGGCCAGTGCTCACAAAG